GACTTGAAAATATATTCATATTAACTTGCATGTTTAAACCTGTTTAATCCTTATACCATGTTCTCGAGTCTTAATAATATATTCGGGACCTTAATAAATTAGTTCGGGGCCAAACGAAATACTCTCGGGCCAAAATCACGAGTTAGCGTTCGAGCACCCCGTCACTGGGCTCAAGGGCTGAACAGTGCTCGAGCACTGTCCAAATTGCGTTCGAGCGAAACAACTCGGGACGTCTGCTATATGTCCATAAATCAATCTTTTTAGGTCCTAAATAATGCATCTGTGTCCCAATTGATGTTTAGTATTATTATAGAGCAAATATACATAATTTGGTCCATTAAAACAAAGATTTGAATTATTATTTAACAATTTTATACAAAGCATACACATATACATATATACAACTCCATTTTAGTCCGATTTAAACATGCTATCAGATTAATTCTTTATGATTTAAGCCCCTGAAGTCATACTAAGGCTATATAGAACACAAGATCAAAGGGGAAGAGTAAAACGAAGAACTTGCCTTTGGTTTTCGAATCGAAAACCAAACTCTTTCTTCTTTGTTCTTCATCTTTAACGCTGGCAAGTCGATTTCCTCTCCTCCTTCTATGGCCGCCTTTCTTCCTCTCCTTCTTCCTTCTTTTATGGCCCTCTCTCTCTCTCTCTCGTGATTCTCTCTCTGCTATCTCTTATACGGGTTTTCTGAACCCTTACAGAACACACACTACATATATATATACTAGATATAAACCTAATCCTAAAACACACATGACAACCAAAATAATAATAATATATATATATATATATATATATATATATATATATATATATATATATATATATATATATATTATAGCCCACATCATCATGGCCTCTTTCCAAGTAGCCCAAGACCCATTTAATTGGTTTAGTTACTACAAGCCCAACTCATAATTAAATAAGCTAATTAAAACATTTAACTAAACAAATAAACAATTTAAAATTAAACATTTAACAATTTAAACCATTAAGTACATCATAATAAGCAATTTAATTAAATAACAATTAACACATTAACATTTCAACAATTGCACATCAACACATAGCCACATAATTAAATTAAATATAATTAAAATAAATATATAAATGCCATAAAAATTAGGGGCATTACAAGTAACTAATGCTTTGTTTAGATTGAGTGATTTGGAGGGATTTGAAAAGAAAAGAATGGATAGTGAAAATCGTATTTAGATAACTTTTAGTAGAGAGAAAAGAAATGATTGAAAAATATTTGGAGGGATTGTCCTCTCAGAAATGAGAAGATTTTAGAGGTAAATAATAGTGAGTAAGTATCATTTTCATAATCTCGAAACCACCCTCTTATTGTATTTGACTCCCATCTTATATGGAGTCAGTTATAATAATAATTTAATTCTTATCATTTTTTAATTTTTGTCTTCTCCATCTTTTCCAAACAAAAATACTATCATTTTTTTTTCTTTTCGTTTATAATTTATTAAAACATGAATAAATGTTATTATTATCCTTTCTTTTCTTTTATTTGATAACTAATGTTATCCTTTCTTTTCTTTGAAACATAAAGAAAAAACACTCAAGAATTAAGTGTGATGAATTTAATATAGTTAGATTTCTTGCATTTAAAATATTATAAAATGTGTAAAAATCGTTAATTAAATGTGTTGTGAAGAATAAATTGATTAAAATGTGTTATTTAATGTTGTTGACTTGATGTGTTGAATACCATTTTTAAGTGGGATATAAAATAAAAAAAAAAAAAAAACCATTTTTAAGCCTTTTGATTTGAAGAATAGATGTGTTGAGAAATTATTTTTAACGTTGTTGAGTTCTAGAATAAATGCGTTGAGAACCATTTTTAATGGCAAGTTTAAGAATAAATGTGGTGAGGACATCTTAAGGGCGTTAAATTAAAAATAAATGTGATGAGAACTAGATTTAAGAGCTTAAAAGCTTAAAAATAAATGTGGTGATAACTGGACTTAAAGGGGTTGAGTTGAAGGTTGTGTGGCCCTTATGAGATGGTGGGGTTAAGTTGAAAAATAAATGTACCAAAGGTTGTGTGGCCCCCATGAGATGGTGTGGGTTCGAGTCCTGCAGGAATAAGTAGGTGTAAAAAAAAGGTTGAAAAATAAATGTGGTGAAAATTAAATTTAAGAGTGTTATTTATTTATTTTTTTACCGAATTAAGGTGATTTTAACACAATAATAAATGGGTTAAAAAAAATGTATTTTTTTAATAAATAATATTTTAACATATTTATTTCAAGAATAAATGTGTTTATTGTTAAAAAAAATATTAAATTGGTTAAAAATATATATTTTTTAATAAATGGAATTTAACACATTTATTATAGTAATAAATGTTTATTATTATATATTCAAGTTAAAACAAAATATATCCAACAAATAACATTATTCAATTGTCTGTGGGTCGCATTAAAAGTTGTGTACCCCAGTGGTTTCCTCAACGTCCCAAGATAGAATGTGAAGGTTCGAGATCCTATAGAACAAAAACAAGTGCGTTAATTTCTTACTAATAATAATAAAAAATGATAAACGTTCACAATATTCAAACCTTTATCCCATACTAATAAATAATATTATTCATACAATAAAATATGTTCAACCCTAAAAATAAAAGCATAATACAAGTTTTTAACTAGTTGAAGACGTAGCAGCAAAATGGATTTGGGAGCAAAATTTTTGGAAAAAAACAAAACCCAAGTACTGTCATTGTTTTCATTTCACAAAATTGTTATCGCTTAGTTCATTTTTGCAAATTTTATGTAATTTACAAAAATAAACCTATCCTAATATAGAAAATATGTGGCTAGTTATTTTTCCTCATTGTTATGACTATATTTTTATTCAGTGGCAACAACAAATTGAAAGAGTAGAAAATTTGGCATTTCTATTTCATTTCTAAATAAATGATTACAACTCGAGCTTTACATTTAAATTATTTTCTCAATGACAAAATTTTGTATAATTAATTTATTTTGAAAAAGGGGATTACACACGCCATAATATGTTAAGATACAGTCAACTTAGTCGACTAATTTGACAAGTATAACGATATTTAATTTTTTATTTTTCAACAATGATATTTAATTTTTTTAACCACAATGATATTTAATTGATTAAACAAATTTTCACCATATGATTAACAATCCAACTTATTTACATTGGAACAAAACCTCAATCTCTTAACCTTTTAACTGATTTTTCTTAAATTTCAATTTCAAACTTTCGAGCATAACATAAAAGAATATAATTAAGATTAGTATTTAAAAACTCAAATAATTAAACTAATTATTTTAGGGCCGATAAGATGAACAACGCGGGAAATTGAACCACACCAAATCGAGATTCATTGCAAACCTAATCGTTAGTGGGAAATTGTTACAAAGGTCATTTGTCTCACATCGAATCCAAATAGAAAAGTGATTGGGTATAAATGGGTGGATATGAAGTATTACCCAATAACTTGAGTTTTTGGGTAAATAGACAAGCATCCATTTGTTACAGTTGGTATCAGAATCAGGTTCAATTCTTGATCTGGTGTTAAGCCAAGCGCCCGACCCGGAACGCGTCTGGGTGAGCCACCCCGGATAGGCAAGTGGCTCGACCGCAACGAGGGCGTTGTAAGTTCGGGTGGAGGAAAATGTTACAAAGGTCATTTGTCTCACATCGGATCCGAATGGGAAAGTAATTGGGTATAAATAGACGGGTATGAAGTATTACCCAATAACTTGAGTTTTTGAATAAATAGACAAACGCTTACTCATTACAAAAACCATAAGGCGGGACAAGTTGACAAGTTAATATGGATTACATGAAATGGTGGGTTTATTTATTTTCTATTGTGTGTTTGATAATTAGAAAAGAAAGTTCACAACAGTAACCAGTGTTCGATCTTATAGTAAGAATTATGAAGTCGTTTTTGTTAAATTTGTGTTCTTATAAGGTGAAGCAATATTATCATAATTTTTTAAAAGTACAAGTTTAGTAGGAGCATATAATATAACTCTTATGTATATAAGTTGTAAATGTATGACAAATTTTGATTTTTTTGAAACAATTTAAATTAAAAATATCGTACTCCGTCAACGATTCAACACTCATTTAATTTGTTATATCGAGATACAATGTTGTAACATTGTAAAATCAATAATGCAATAATTTTAGAGTAATATTATTTAATTTTAGAGTAATATTATTATCTGAGAGCACTTTCATGGTAAGCTTCTTTTAATCAATAAAATAAAATTTTTATTAAATAACTCATTTGATTTTTTCACACATCTTAAAAGATTGTATCAATCCAGTTATTAAGACTGTAATGAAAAAGTATAACATTATGTATAATATTAGACTATTTTTAATTTGTTATAATACACTTTTAATGATTTTGTACTTTTAATTTAATTTTGTTACATCAGATGGTATTAAATCCAAATGTGTAGAGGAGATTTTTCTCCCTTTATTTTAAAATTTTAGTTACAGTTCTTAAAAATACTCAACTATTTTAAAAAGAAGGGAGTATAAATTCAGAGAATGTTAATATCACGACGGTTTGATGTGTGAGAGATACACAAATTATTTACCAACTTTCTTCTGGTCCTCTATCCTCCACCTCAAAGTCTGACACAATCTAATTGAAATGCGCATTTTTATAGCACACCGCTACACGTGTCTCATTTTTACGACGACACCTCAGCGACCCTCTCCTTTCCAACCCATCTCAGCCACTTGGCTTATTGGTTTCTTAGGCACGTGCGAGCTCTGTATTCGGGAAATTGCTGACGTGTCCAAGCTAAAACGTGTCAGGAGCTCATACATCGTACTCGACTAGAAACGCTGTCTCATTGTGACGTGTTACGACACGTGGCACCCTGCTGCCATCTGTTGGTTAATCTCTCCTGCTCTACCTTACCTTCTTCACTGTGAAGATCTCTTATATATGTATATCTAAAACACCACACCGCATCTGTACTCTTTCGATGTACTGATTCTTTACTTTCCCCCTCTTTCTAAAATGGATGGTGGTAAGTCGTACAACTTCGGAGTGGAGATTAGAAGTAAGACTTCTTCCATACCTTCCCAGGGAGTGCCGTTGCCGATAGAGTATGGAGTCAAGAATTCCGAATGCGGTGCCGATCCAATAGAAAGTAGTGAGTTGGAAGCTGCTGAAGTGTTAGCGTGTTTAGCGGATTCAGTGGGGCATAAGAACGAGAATCTTGACTCTAAATCGAACTGGAATATTGTAATACCAACTATGCCAGAGTTTTTGGATCTCGCTACGGTGAGTTGTATTTTCTGGTTATATACGCGTGTATACATACAAAAACGTATTATATACATATCGGGATTGAATTATTTTGGTTCAAAGTTTTTTTTTTTTACTATGTGATGAAGTAGTTCTCCTTGGTCTTGCTCAATCACAAGTGAGATTTTCTGAAATTTAAAAATATTTTTAATTTCAGATATATGGGTTGTTAATTATTCTTTGAAATCTTTGTTATATATAAGAAAATCTAATATTATAGGAAAAGAAAAGTATTGTCTTATGTTATTGGAGATTTGATTGAGACCTTGATTGAGACGGCCACTATAGACACTAAACTATTTAAAACTAAATTACAATTTTAAGAGTTAAAAATAAACTTTTTGCTAATATATTTTTAGGAAGAATTTTGTAAGTAACAAAATTTTATCCAAACACACTGTTATCTTCAATCAATCAATTACATAAATGTGGGGGGCACACATAGCGGTGGCTTACTCAGTCTCCCCTTGCTTGATTTTTACCTATAAACTTTGCTCTGCTGCAAGAATTGTAAGTGACGTAGTCGGACAGATTTTAACAAGAACTACCTGTGTTTGTTTTGAAAGTTATATCAATAGTACCGTATCTTGATAAAGATCAAGATAAGTCCGATAGCAATTTTATTTATTTATTTTATTTTTATGTTTTATGTATGCCAAGAAGGTTTTGCAGTCATTTTTCATTTTTTTCAATTAAAGTCATTGCAGTTTAATGCTGTACCATAAAATATGTTTGGTTTGATTTCTTAATCATCGTTGGTGTGATCGGTTAAATTAAAAAAAAATGGGCGATTGAACCTTTATTATTTGTTTGGATATCCAACCACTTGTATTTTTTTTTTTTAAAAGCAGCTTATTTATAAACTATTTGATTGAGAAACCCTGTATCTAGTTTTTTCTAAATGATAAAAAATTTAGGCAAACTTCAAGTTGACTGAAGGTAGCCGTATCCTTCGCTTAATGATGCTTCGGTTCATTTCCTTCTAGTTTATTGATCAGACTGTATCTTTGTTACAATTGCAATGTTGTTACATATATGCACCGTTATGTTTTTCGAATAGTCTCATCCTTTATGTTGTTTTTTGTTGGTCATTCCCAACATTTTACACATGCATTTCCTGTCTTATAATGCAGATAAATAATATAATAATTTGAAAGAATCACATGTATTTCTAAGGTAGATCTATTATAAGCATATAGCCCTAAATTTGTTTTAACATTTCAGGTATAGATTTGGCCAGGTGGAGCGCGGAAGCCTATAATTTGATTTTTCTGACTAAATCTGCTTCACATTTCTCTTATTATTATTATTTTTTTGTTTTTATTTCTCATGATTTAGTGTCTGTTCAAGAACTATAAAATTCCTCATTTTGTTTAGCTATAAATAATAAATTAGCAAGCTAACCTAGTGAAAATTGCATTTATTTTGTGCGTGATGTGAGAAATGTTTTGTATATAGCAGTATAGAGCAGAAGTTGTTCGTCAACCGTGTGAAAAGATATATACATGTGGCAACAATTCAACACAGATTTTGACCCAGGTACTACAATATTCAATTTAGCTACCTTTTGCTTGAAATAAGCTTATTATACTTAATTGATATTTTACGTGTCAGACTGAAAAAGAAGAACGGAGAATGCGCAGGGTGTTAGCTAACAGAGAGTCCGCTAGACAGACCATTCGTCGTAAACAGGTAACTTAAATATTTCTATCCTATCATTGGTCAAGGTTTCTCTACTATTCTAGCCACACTCTGTGACCACTTCACACTGCTTCTCACTCTAGGAAGCATTTTCACTCTAGGAAGCATTTTCACTCTTGGTGCTTCTCGCTCTGGAATGCATTACCATTAATATTGGACACTCTACCAAAATATGCTAGATATTTTCAAACTTACAAAACTCTCTCTCTTCTAAAGTCTCTCCAATTAAATCTTTCAATATTTTACTCCACAATCTGCACACACATGTGGAAGACTCTAGAACTCAACTCTGTTTAATTTTAATTTTTTTCCGATAATTAACTCTCTTTATGCCATGCAAAGTAGTCAACATTTGTCGCCTCCGTGGCATGTTCTCCCTGCGCATGGTGGTGTGGCACAACACTTAGCTCAAGTGTCTTGAACTTGAAAGAGTGTAAATTGTATAGTGTTTTGGAGTAACATTTTTTTACTTAAAATCAATTGAGTTAGACTGTGAATGATAAGTCAAGATAGGTTTCACTTGGATGTTTTACTTTGTTTGGAAGTCCAATTGCCTATGTTCTATGATTATGGTAAGTGTTGATTTAATCTTCGGTTATCATTATTCATATTTGTTTGCTTAGGTTCTCTACGAGGAGTTGAGCAAAAAAGCTGTTGATTTAGCCCGTGAGAATGAGAATTTGAAGAGGGTATGTTGCATTTTCTTTACATTTTTTTTTTGAAATCTTGAACTATGTAGAACTCTGTACATCGATGGAAGTCATGTGGATGTGTAGTTGCATCAAAATTATTCTTGTTTTACTTATGAATTATTGGTTCCTTGCTCATATTTTTTCTCTTTTATATGAAACTTCTTATGTTCACCTGTTAACCTTCTCTGAATTCATCCACTTTTGTCGAGAAGAAGAGGGAGACGATCATGAAAGACTTTGATTCTTTGAAGAGCACTAACGAATGCTTGAAGGCACAGGTAAGACATGATGTGCATTAAAATGATGTTTAATAAATCTTGTTTATAATACTTTCGATTTAGACACACTTTGATTTTGCAGATAGCTATGAAAATGAAGACGGAATTAGAGGAAACTCCAAAAGAATCAAATTCTACACATGACAATTCTAAGCACGATGATATATCTACAAGTTCATCAACAAATGCTCCATTTCTCACAAATAACCAATCCGCATTTATGCCAGTCCTCTGGCCTTCCATCGTTCAATCTCAGGATCATCCTCCTCAAAACGTCATTCCCATTCCATCAATGCCTGATTCATTCCATGAACAAGAACATCCTTCAAGGATTAATGGCTCTGGAACTCTCTTATATATGTTCCCATATCCATGGTTTTTTCCTCTTCCAAATAACGGGAATAGAGTTCATCCTCAATCTTGGAACGGGAATAGAGTCTATCCTCAATTCTCGAATATTATTGATAGACACAAAGAAATTTCAATGAATAACCAACCTACTGCTAGTGAAGTTTCTAGTTTATTACATGGGAGACCCACTAATTGTCTTCCAGCGACCCATCCCTGCCGTAGAGGGGTGTTCTTCATGTCTCCACCCGTAAATTCTGTAAGGCCTACTGTAGCTGTGTTGCCTAAGAATGACCAACAACCAGATTACACCCCTCGCTTAAACGCTCTTTTATCCATGGATGGTCGTAATGTAAATGCTTTGCCAGAAAAGGATGGGGAGCCAGTCAACTCGCGTATTAAAAAGCTACTGGATTCAACAATATCGGCTGAGGCTAGGAAGAGGAGGAAGCACCTTACGAAGTTAAAGAATCGCCCACATTGAGAAGATCATTACAAGGAGGGCGGAGGAGGAGGAGTAAAGTTACGAAGCTAAAGAATCGTCTCGGTCCTCACTTTCTTAAGCGTATGCAAGGTTTAGCTTTTACAAAGAACTATTTCATTTCTGGTTAGATTGTTGCTATTTCATTTCTGATTAACCTGTTTCTGTTATTAAATTTCATACTGTTATCTGTAATCGGTCAGTGAAATTTTAGTGACATGTATATATGTCACTGTCTTCACTGTCGAACTATTTCATTTCTGATTAGACTGTTTCTAGTGTTGTTCGTTGAGATTTCAATTGCATGTAATATATATCTCCCTTGTTGCAATAATAATTTTAAAATTTTGATAATAGTAAGACTTCTGTTTATCTTAGAAGTTAATAACACATAACCAAGTTGAGAAATGGAAAGAGGGAAGACTGTGTGTCGAAAAGGTTGTGGATACGAGTTGGGGAAATAGGGATTTGCAGAGGGAGTGTTGGAAGAGGGGATGAAATAATGATAATATGGTGAATAAAGTTTTGTCGCTTAAGTACTAGATTGGCTAGAAACGTGTGTTCTCTAATGTTTCGAGTTGTTAAAGATACTTTTAGTGAGAACTATTTAGAAGTTACAAGTCGTTAAAGATATTTTTAGTGGGAGAACTGTTTAGAAGTTAAAAGATATATTTTTATTTATTTATTTATTATTATTATTATTTTTATTATTATTTGTGCCTTTTTGAAAGTTGATAAAACTTTAACTGTGTTGGAATCTACTCTATTTGAAATAGTTTCTCTCATTTTCTAGAGATAGTTAAAGGAGAGGTAGTTGGCATGTTTTTAATGTTTGAAGAAATTTGTGCTTCACTTTTCCCCTGATTAAAATGCTATCTGAAGCTGCTAAAGATATTTTTAGTACGTTGTTTAACTAAAATGTTTCTAATTTTTAACATAGTCAGAATTATGGTGTTGAATTCAGAAAATGTTTTTTTTCTCCTTATCTAAAATTTATTAATAAGATATTCAAAAAAAAAAATTAAATTTTAAGTGAAAAGAACAAAAGAAAAAGGTTTTTAAATTTATTTTTTGTCCAAATCAATTAGCGCAAGGCCGCGGGAGCGTTTGGGTTTTTCAATTGCGAAAAAGGGCCTTGGCCTTTGGTTAGTGCGGTGCAGATGCTTAAAAAAGATATATATATATATATATATTTTTTAATATTTCTCTCAAAATTTGTATGTGGTTGAAGATTGAGTAATATTTTGTACTTTAAAATTATATTCAGCCGCTCCACTTTGATATATCTACCAACAAAATAACAAAAATAACCCTATTTTCCTTTTTCTATATCCTTTCCTCTATGATGGCGGACTCTCAACTCAGTCTCTTACATCCCTTTTGCGACTCTTTTCGTTTCATTCTAATATTCGTACAATAAATCTCTTTTTTTCATTTTTTTTTTCTCCTTATTACCATCTTTCCTCCTTACGCTAGCATTTATATCACCCTCAAAACATCAATACCTCTAGGCCATTTCCATCCCACATACCACAGCTAAGAGAATTTGATTAAGAGGAGACACATTTTGAACATTTTAAATTTCGATTCACCTTTCATCTTTATTTATGTGACCATTTATTGGACCATCACTCTTCTAATCATTACTTCTCTGGGAGCCACCCTGATTCTATCTTGCAGATGTACAAAATAATTATGGTTTGTCTTAACTATTAAATATAGTTAACTAAAATACATAAGAAAATAATACTGAATATTATAACTTGTTTGATGAGTTTCAAGGATGAATGATTATCTTAATAGTATGTTTTTTAGTATTTCAAATATGAATTTTTGCATATAAATATATTAAAAAATATACTCTATATATATATATATACATTTTTTTTTTTTTTTCTATCTTCATGTGTTTAGTTTTTTATACATCTGTCTTAACTGTTGAGTATATATTTTTTCATATAGGAGCGTTCCTTTATCTAGTTGTTGGAACTCATATTCTCCTATCTTTCATGTGTTTAGTTTTTTATGCATATGTCTTAACTGTTGAGTAGTTTGAAATTTGCTCAAATACTTTTTAACATATCATGAATACTATACATAGCTTTGTTTATCATTAAAAGGATGCGTGCAGAGAGAAAGCAAATAGACCAAAGATATGAAAGAGAGGACGAGTTGAGGGAGCCTTATGTTAGAGTGGAAAAAACACACAACCAAAAAAGACAAAAAGAAAAAAAGAAAAAGATGTATTGGAGCATTATTATTATTATATTTTTTGTTGGGTTAATTTAATAAAAAAACATTTTAGCAAGTCATTTTTATTAGAATGTAAACACTTTAGATAAAAGTAATTACAAATCTGTCAATTTTTACTGTTCATGAATCTTAGAGACCAACTTATCCTTAAGTACTTTATGAAATTTACTAAACTACCCTCACTTTTCTTTCCATCTCATTTCTTTCTCACAATTTGCATAATAAAGGCACATTTATGTACTGAGAGGCCCAATTTAGACAAGATCCATTTCGAACCCTCATCTCTCTATACTAGAGTTGCAAGTTGGGCTGGCCCAACCTAATCCAGTCCCAACCCAATCTTAACCCGAAATTGAGTTGGGTTGAGGTAGCCCGAATTGTACTCAACATGAGTTATGGTTATAACCTGGACCGAATATTTTTGGGCGAGTCGGATTGAGTTGCGTTTGAGCATTTTTTTTTTTTACGAAAATTTATATATTTTGATTATAGTTAATTTCACTGACATCCTCTCAGGTTTGGCCAAATATCACACTGAAACATCTTTCGAAAATAATTATCACTCACATCACAAACTTTTGTTCCGTTTTTCACTTACGCCCCAAAAGTTATTTTACAAGTGTGTCAGATATTTTTGTATGCAAAATTACATTACTACCCTTCTAACTATCTTTTAACTTAAAAAAATGTTAAAATGACTTGAACACCTTTTGACCTTTATTATATAAATTTATAATTATTCTTTTTATATATATATATATATATATATATATATATATATATATATCATGATGTAGACCCACCTCCAATTTAAAATTATTCTTTATATATATATATATATATATTTCTCATTATGTACACCAATTAAATTATAATTATTTTTAAAAATTATTCTATATATATATACTCTCATCATGTACACCAGTTTTCTCCACCTTTTTTTATATCTTTTTCTTTTTCTTTATTTTTTTCCCTTTTTTATTTTTATTTTTATTTTTTATTTTCTAATTTCTTTTTCTTCTTCATTACTGCCGTCAAAGACTTTTTCTTTTTCCTTTTTTCTTTTCTTTTCTTCTTATTCATTACAATTTGATTTCCTGATAGAAAGAAGATGGGAAATCTGGTATCGCCGTCTCCTAGCTTCCATCCCTTAAATTGCCCGAATTCTATCTATAGAATAGAATTAGAAGAAGGGTGGATCCAGTGGATTATTATTACGGATCAAATGATCTTGTTTACATGGGATTAGTGGTCCAGTCATCCAATATTCGACAAAGAAGAGAGACAGAGAGACCATTAATGGTTCCTTATCACCGGCGACCACTTTGGTCGCCTCTTCTCTCTCGATGCCGGAGATCGTGAATTCTTCTGTCTCCGGTGAATTGGGGTTCACCATTCAGCCCCAAGCCACAACTACAATGAACACCAACTGTTGCCTCGTCGGAGTTGCGTCACCGTCACTATCACCATCTCTTTGTTCACGGCCATTCCAATTTCCTCATCTTGTCATGATTATCGATCGTCTTAAGCCTTTTCCGGAGATTTATAGTCATAAGACGAATAAAGGGATGAGGAAAATTGGAATTCTGCAATAATGGGTTTGCAACGGCAGGGTAGGTTGATTCTGATCGACGATGATGGGGTTCTGGGTTTGCGATTGGGTTTGGAATTCTTGTATGGGTCTTGCGCTTGGTTCTGTTGATGGTGTTATATGCATGGGCTGATGGTTTGCGATTGGGTTTGGATTTGCAATTGGTTTTCATGGTTTTGTTAGTCTGTGTCTCGTATCTGTCGAGAAGAGAGAGAGAGAGACAGAAGAATTGTAGATGAGAGAGACACATATATTAGTTTAATTAAGGGTATAATAGTCATTTAGGTTATATGATATTTTGAAATAAATGTGATTAAAAAATTAGAAGGCAAAGTTGTCTTTTTCAATATTTTTAACCGAAGCCGTAACGGAAAAGTGAAAATGGAATTAAGTAATAGTTATTTTCGAATTTGAAAGATGAGACTGATGTTTGGCTAAACCTGAGGGAGTGTCAGTAAAATTAACCCTTGATTATATTGTTATTAAAAAATAAAATATTTTTAGGACAAATCAGTTCAGCATCCCCAATTGCCTTCGTCTTTATTCTCATCCTCGACTCTAAACTTGCCCTCTTTCTCTTTCTCTCTCTCTCTCTACAACTGCAAATTACAAAATCTACAAGAATCAGAAGTTTAAAACCAATATATTTCAGTTTATCTAAGAATCAAAAGTTCAAAACCTATTACCTATATCAAAACCCATATCGGCATATCATTTCAGATTGTTCAAAAAATCAAAACCCATATCTTTCAGTTTCCATCGCCCGCTGTTCCAGTTCGGGTTCGCCGTTTGCAAGCTTCAGTCACTATCTCTCAACTCTCGAGCTTGCCCCTCTCTCTCTGCAGCTGCTAACTTGTACGTACGGGTTTTGTTTTAATTTTTGGAAGTGATGGCAGCGGTAGAGGCGAAGGGACGGCGGCGGCGGTTGATCAACTTTGTAACGACTCAAATCGGGGGTCCGGATCGCTAACCGAGTCCTTACCCAAACCCGAGGACACATTAGGGGTAAAATGGTCATTTTACAATATGAAAGGATGGTCAACCCTAAAACTAGTCAAATAAAGTTTAAAACAATCATTCTAGTCATCCCGTAACATTCGAAGGGGTTCTACGGTCATCGATCATGAATTTCCAAAAGTACCCTTGCTCGGTTCAAGGAAAATGCCGACAGTGTTCCACTAAAGCAACCATATCTCTCAATATGAATGTAATTTGAAGATGAAATTGGTCTCATTAGAAAGCTAACTCAAAATCCTTGAAAATGGACTCAAGAATGACCTAATTTGGGTTCGGAACGAAGAAGTTATGACCGTCCGAAATTAAGTGATCAAAGTTGATAAACTGACAAGGCAAATTGTGCACACTGGGGGACTTGAACTGGTTCAGTGGGGCTGAACTGGTTCAAGATGGGCAGTATGCCCACTTGAGAACCATTTGCACCCCCTTGAACCGGTTCAATGGGGCTGAACCGG